AGAAAACCATGTTAAGATCCCTCCCTTGAAATGAAACTCAGGACATCCAGGAGAATGCATTCTAGCTATTTTTTATACTTTGTACTTTTTTTGGTAATTAGTGATGTCTATACCATCAAAAGAACAAATATATAATCAGAAGATAATATCAGAAGATAATTCTGATGCTATATTTACTTTGAAAGGAAACTCTATGAGAAACATTGTTGTAGACACGTCAGGATCAGAAACCATGCTCTGGAGTATTTAACCTAATGAAATTGATGACTTTTGGATCAGCCATAACATCAGTAATGAGAATGATGCATCTTATGAAGGATAAACTGAATAGAACAATTTTTCAAGTGAACTGGTAAATGGAAAATAGATTTTAGACTGTTAAAATAATGATGGTAAAGGGGATGAAATTCATTGCTATCTGGTTGCTAATCATTATGCCATATGCTAGCAAACCTTCAGAGTTTATATATTTGCTTCAAAATGTTTTACCTGGATAAATGTATTTAAAGGTTTAATGTATAAGATTTAGTGCCCTACAAATCTTCATAGCAGTTGACAGCTTCCTTGCTGTTCGAAGAGATGAGCTTGGAAGATGGAAAATAAAGGTCTCCCTAGGGAGAGCAGATGGGGTGAGAATGATGACGGAAAGGGATTTATCATGAGATGATTTGAGCTGAGATTTAGAGTGAAAATTACCAAACAAGATAGGGACTTAGGGATGTCACTTCTACAAACCAGGACTATCAATAAGAACTTAAATACCAGATTCCAGAAAGAAAGAAAGAAAACTGAAGTCTTGGCCATAGAAAAGTGCTCTGGACTTTGACTTCCTTTACCATTCATACAAATGTATTTCATTGGGGAAGGGCATGAGGAGCTGAATGGGAGTTAAGAAAGTATAATATTCTGGGAAACCTAAAAAGGTGAGCACAAGCACTGCATCTTTCAGAAAAACTTATCCAATGAGTAACTGAAACACAAAACACCCCTCAGACCACTTTCTGGTCTTTTCTTAGGCTGTGCTTTGGGCTCAGAGAACATATCCATCTATACTAGCAAATCAAGTAGTCACAGCTGCTGCACTGGTTTCTCTCATGGTTAATCTCCTCCCTTGCCCCCAGCTCTAGCCCTACAGTGAAGTCATTGTGCTAAACCCCTGACATCCCAATACCTTCCATAGCAACAGAGCACAGTGTCCTAAACACAAGATTAGGCACAGAGCCTGACCAGAGGAGGAAATTGGGATGTGGGGTGGAGGCTGTGGCTGGACACACGCGACACACCTGCGGCCCCGCGATGGCCAGGGAGGGGCGAAGGCGCGGCAGTAAAACCTGCAGAGCTGAGAGCCAAGCTGGTGATTCGGTTTGTGGCACTCCAGAGAGGCATTGCTGGAGCCCTGTTATCCTTCACTGCTGAAGGCAATTTGTGTCTGGCTTCCTTCTGCCAAAGGCTGCATACTTGAGCTGTCTGTGCTATCCCTCAGTAGCCTACTGAGGCTTGAGCACGGACAAAAGCAGCACCAGAGCTAAGCAGGACTATAATGCTTCCTGTACTCAATATGTTTCAGCCAAATTCATGGTTCCTTGTAATCTAAGATGGTCATACAGTAATTTAGACCCCCTTGAACTCATATTCCCTTATGCAGTTAGATTTCCTGAAGATAAAGCCCTGTTGACATGGGAAAGTTTTACCGGTTATATAGACAAGTTAAGCTGGTGTAACCACACCCTGAGCATATGGAGACTCCTCTGGGTGTAAAAGTGAATTTTTCAGTATAGCCTGCGCTTTTACGTGTGCTAAACCAGAAAATTCACATTGATACATTGGAGGAGTACTCTACTATCTGAACGTAGACACCTTAACTGAGTTGATAAAGTTAAGAGCCCAGATGCCCCCAGATGACACACCCTGGGGGCAGGTATGTGCCTCTGGGTGGTGATTCACAGCTCCAAATTTATGACCCTAAGCGCCGTTGTCAGATGAGTTCTGATGAGTGTTCTGAATTTCTTGCTATTGTTTGCTACAGATTACCTTTTCCATTAGCTTCTGTAGTCTAATTTAAACAGAAAATAGGTGATAAAAGAAATAGGTGGTCCATCTATTAAAACTTGACCTAGCTAAATGTTAGAATAATTTTAGCCTTAGCAGCAAGGTCTTTGTGAGGGTAGATTTTCTTAGGGGGAGCCAAAAGCATATTCTTGAAACAAAGGGTCCCTGTCCAGTATTCTGTCTTTTCACAAGGAGGAGAGGTCAACTACTGAAAGAATAAAATCTGCCAGATTTTCTTTTTTTTTTTTTTTTAATAGGGACAAAAATATGTATTCTCTTTTGGCTGAACTCTTGGAAATCCTTGATGGTTTTTGGCTAAGAAGTTTTGAAAGAATATTTTGCTAAAGGCAGCTCAAAATTTAGTGTGAAGCAACTAAAGTGGCTTAATTTAATAATTTTCTGATGTACTGAAAACACGTATGATGGGGAAATTGGTGGAAAACTTAAATTATTGCTGGTACTACTGGTGGTTGAAAATGTAAATTCTTGAAGTTGGATATAAAGGATTTCTGCTGTTTATAGACATGGATACTCTTATTGTGAAGATACAGCTGTAATCTGCCTGGAATCTCAGTTTCTGGCCTCTGTCATACCTTGTGATAGTCTCGATAAATAGTCCACTGATTACTGGTGCTTTTGTTGGACTTATTTCATGGATTGTTTTCTTTTCCTTGTACTACACAGGCAGCTCAGTGGAGTCTGCAGCTTAATTAGTTTCCCTATCTTGATCCGAAATCAAGGGTAGATGCAGTTAGTGTAACTCAGACATCCAACTTCTGTATTTTATAGATCTGATGAAGTAGCTCTCCTAAAGCAAATGTGCCACTTGCTGTTGCAGTCAACAGAAGACTACAGGTGACTTTGAAGGTTTCCAGAAGAGAGTCTGACTAAGTGGTCAGACCCCTTCTCTCTGCAGCCCTTCAAAGACACCTGTGTTTCTCCTTCTGACTGTAAAGGGAATTTAAGCACTTAACTCAATAGGTGCCTAAAATTTAGGTGCCAAGTGAACATTCAAATGAAGCCAATACAATTCTGTTTCAGATTTGTGGAGTTTCACTCTAAGAATGCATATATATGCGCAAATATATTTTTTTATATATATCTCTCTCATGCCTTTATCCAAGTAGGCATGCTTCTTTTGAGACATTGTAATTTATAAATATAAAAGGTTTATAGGGAAACTTGCCAGGTAACATTGGTTTTGTATTTCTGATTTCAATTTGACACAGTTTGCAAATGCCTGGCCTCCCAGAAACACAAGCTTTCTTACCTCTTATTAAGTTCGCTGATCTGGCCTCCCTGTGTGTCTGGTTTGCATTCTTTTTTTTAGCCATCAGAAACTTTCTGCCAAAAAGTAGCACATTTAAAACTGTACAATTTACAGAAGCAACAGTAGATGATTCATTGGTTGAGCTTTAACTTGAGCACTCAGCAAGAAAATATCGTGCATGGACCTTTGTGGTGAGGGCAGCAGAAGCAATGTTTTCCTTTTGTTAGCAATCACTTACTGTATATTTTAGCTTTCAAGTCTTGGTGGCACTGTGAAGAAGTGTGTCCCCTCACTTGCCCATGTATGGTAAAAATGTACTGCAAAACCCACTCTTTATATTTAAACCACCCCTTTTGCCTTCAGTGAACATAAGCCAAAAAAAATAGTTGTGACTATTTCTTAAACCCAAATGTTTTGCATGCAACTTTTCCTGAAATTAAGCTACTGTTTAAACTGGGTAGCAAATATTAGTTCTAGACAGCTATGGAAGAAAAATGAACTTGATTTCATCATTTAAGCTCACCACAACACTTTAAATGGTTACTTCTGTCATTTGGAATGGGAAAAAACCATCTTAAGCTAGCATGTATTTATTCTGAAGCACTAAAAAATCAAAACTTATGAAAAAAAATAAAGAGAAGCTGTTCACAAAATATAAGCACACAGTATACATTTCACATGTTTTTCTGTTGAGACCCACAACCTGAATCCCTCTGGCTAATTTTGTTAATTAAATATCCCATTACATTCTTCATCTGATAGCGTCAGACTTGTGTATTCTGGCAGAAATCTAAGTGTTGAACTCTTCCTAGTGTAAGAAGACACATCTCATACTGAATTTTGGTTCCCTGTTTATCCAAGCACTAGGTATGTGTTTGGTTTTAAAGAATATAAATGGCCCATTGAAACTGATGTGCTGTGAGAGTTCCACACCAGACAAATGACCAGATCTGACTTTGGCTGTGGCTGTGAAGCTTGACAGAAGTTAATGGTATTGCTGAGATATAACTGAGGGCAGAATTTGGCCCTGGTCCCATGCTTGTCATAACTTACCATACTAAGCTGAATGTTAAAAGTTTTGTACAAGGAACTCCATGCAGAGCCCCGATGATTAATGGGATCTGGATCCAGAAATTCCTGTGGGCTACAACTGAAAATTCATTCCTCTATTTTGATGGCTGTTCATTTTAATAGAGGACTTTGATACCACATTGTGTCGACAACTGTGGAATAGTCTGGCTACTTATATTTATCACTGAACTTCCAGAGGCTCTTGAAACACTTATGGAAGCTAGGCATTGCATGAAATTCCAAAGTACCCAAAAGTTTAAAGCTTCTGTTTTCTCCTTCTGTTGAATTTTGACAGGTCCTGAGAGGTATTATTTAAGCTTCTCCGGGGAGTATTAATAAATTTGAAAGAAAGGTAACAAAGGATAATTTTGTTTATATATGTACCAGTACAGCCATAGCAAACAGTTAAAAAGATTTTCCTTACAAAAGGTAATGAAACTTCCACAAAAACATAACCAGGCTCCTTTATATTGAGAAAGGTAATCTGCAGATAGTTCTGTTTCTCAAATAGGATGCTTTATTGAAGAGAGAATGGCATTATCTGAATGGGACATTTTAATCTATTTCAGATATTAGGAGCTGCTAATTTCTTGTTTTAACAATCCCAAAGGTGTTTCTTCAGCTGAGCTGGCAGCAACAAGGATATGAGCTGGAAATCTTAATGAAGGTAATTTTTAGCTGCTTTCTGCCCCCCACCCCACTGCTCTCTTTTACCTGTAAAATATTTCTGTTAAAATTCTGAAGTGTATTTCTCCAGCAAAAGGCACTCTTAGTATAAAGAGGGTCTGAGTATTGCTTAGCCTTCCCTACAGAGTGGTTCTCCTGAGCTGGCAGAGGAGTGATAGCAAAAAATGTGGTCTTCGATCCTTGATCTCTGTGATTACATTTATACTTCCACAGATGACCCAACCATGGGAGGATATTTAAGAACTGTGTGAGTAAAGGGGAGGGAAGGATGGCAGATTTGGCATGTGTGATTTCAGCTGCTTGAAGATTACAGTTTGCATGGCACTGTCACCTGCATGTCTGGCTCCAGGAGATTCTTCTAGGCAGCCCTGGACACACTGAAAAGAGAATATCTTGGACCCTTGTTTCTTATGGTCACCTCCATTTTCTGCTGCTGTGAAGAAGATGGGAAGGGGGAAGGAGGAGGAGAGGAGGAGGAGGGAAGTGTTTCCTGATACAAGCCCCATCTAGATGTCTGATACAAAGCCCAGCAGTAGGCACAATTAAGCAAAAGAAAACCATGGTTTGTACTCATGCAGCTTAGGAGAAAGAAGCTTCTCTGGTGCATTTGCAAACTATTGGGCTTTTGGCCTGTATGTACTGTGCCTTTTCATCAACACAACTACTGAACACTGAGCTTGGGTGCAGAGTTCTCCAATCTCTGGCCAAGCAGCTCCTCTTGAACAGAAGGGTCAGGGAAGTGAATATGGGTGAAATGGAGAAGGCAGTCATCTTCCCATAAAATTCTGAGCTTGTCAATACCATAAGAGAAGCAAAGTTATAAAACCTGCTGGCAGGAGTGCAATCCAAGTGAAAAATCAGTGCAGCATTACCAGCTGAATTGCACTCTTTAACTGTGTGAGTCAGTTTCTGTTCTCATAGGGTGCAAATCTGGACCAGCTCTCCTGAGTCCAGGAAAGTATTTCAGGATTTATATCTTCTAAGTGGAGCTGAATTTGGCCCTCTCTTGTTCAGACTGGAGTTATACTGTCAGTCCACAAACTTGAGTATTTTTAGCAGCAGTTGTCACATCTAATCAAACACAAAATTTAGCAGGATGAAGTGAGAAAAGTGCATGGTTCAGGAGACTTAGCGCCAAAATTCCAAACATTTTATTCAATCTCTAACTGTCAGATAAGTAAAGAAGTTTGTATATGTATATATGTATTTAAAAGTTATTTACTGGTACTTTTATGCTCTTAGCAACATTCCACTTTTGAAATCTCTAGCAGATGCCTCCTATCCAGACACCTCCTAAAAACACCCAAAAGCCCAAGCACCAAACCTTCAACAATGATATGTTATCTTAAAAGTGAACCATTTACAATATTAATTCATAAACTAACCACATTTATTTAGGAAGAGAGCAGAGACAATAATATATAATCTATTTTCTCATGCAGATTCCAAATCACAAATGCTCACAAGTTTTTAAAAGAATCTGTGACCCAAGATTGGTTCGTATAAATAAAAAACATATAAATTGGCTGATAAGAGTTAGAAGAAGAGATAACAATATCAATTCATAAGCAGAACCATGTGTACATACAGGGAAACAAATTTGGTTCAGTAGGCTATTCCTTACTGTCTATTCATTACTGATTACTCCCTCATCTTTAGCTTTTAATTCCCCATATCAAATCTTTTCAATTCATCATCAGCTATGGAGATCAGCTGACATATGCTTGCCTAGTTCAATCTGGCCTGAAGCAATATCACAGCTGGAGGTATTTCATGGAAAAAATGACCTTTTCAGAGTGTATCATCAGTTATGCAAATGATATAAAGTCAGTAATCTTGAATAACTGATTTTATGGAGTTGGTATATTCTTTTTCAATGGTTTTAAGGAAAAGGATTGGAATAAAACAGGAGGTATCAAAGAAGTGAAATATTTGAGATTCCTGAATGCTCGATGAGCATCCTAAAAAAAAAAGCCATGAGTGTAGCCTCCTCTACTCATTTTTTTACTGTGTGACTATCTGGAAATTTATCTGTAGAGTTTGGTTACTATTGTGACAGTTATTTGTCAAGAATAAATTCTTAAGTCTGTGTTGGGAATAATGTCACAGGACTGAGACTGTAATCTTGTCATCCAGTTGTTCGAGAAAGAGCTCAAGTTTTGCAATTCCAAAGCAAAGGAAAAAAAATATCTCTGAAAGGAGACTGAGGTTTTAAATTAATAGTTAATTATTTAAGAACTATTTGCAATTGGAGACACTCAGGAAGACAAATTGCAAAGTTATTTTTATTCTTTTCTTGGGTAATTTTGAAGTTCTCAAGGTTTTCAGTTTCTTTCTAAAATGGCCGTACATGTGCAGTTGCAGTTTTCTGTGTGTACCACCCCCACCCTTACGTGGCCCCCTTGGTATTTCTGAGGTTGTACAGCCTGAGTCACTCTGCACGTGTTAAAAGGAGTCACGCTGCTGACTTCAGTGGCTTTTCAAGAAGCCTTGAGGAACCAAATGAATCCTGCCTTTTCTCCATCTCATTTTGTACTGGTGCTTGAATGGCAGAAACGTGGAACAAGATAGTCCATTTGGCTGCACATTTGCTGAGTTTAAATGAGGTGGGTGAGCAAGCTTTAGCATGTGTTTGAATAACAAAAACTTGCAAACAGGCAGTTTCTGTGGGAAAAATCCCTCACAGCAGAAGGAAAAGCTTTTGCTGTAAAATTCTACCTGATAGTTCATTTTTTTTAATCCTTTAAACATCATGGAAAGAATAAAAGTTTACTGGTAGAAGTGGGCTTAGGGACTACCTCAGCAGTACCTTATTGCCACTGTAAATCTAATATGGGAGAAAAAAAGAAAAAATGTGGAGAAGGGTGGGTGAAACTTGGCACATATATTAATAGAGAAATGCAGGACCCAAGAAAAATAGCTTTCAAGAGGATTTGCTTGGCTATGTGTCAGGCTGGAGAGTATTTCTGTGCTTGAAGAGAGCTAGATCACTGTGAGAGTAGGGGCTGACTTGACAGTCCCAGGGACAATTTGCTTGGTGACAGAGAGGAAGGAGCACTGCCATCCTTGTGTCATTTTTCCACACTTATCATCAAGTCCCCAGGCTCCAAGGGATCCTCAAACCATCTCAGGGTGGACTCAGGGTGTTGATAATATCTAGGCTTTGCTTTCCCATTCCCTCACTCCATACTTGCCTGAGTTTCTGCTGTGGAAGTACACAGATGTTTACACAAAATACATACATTTGTGATGTCCCCTGATCTCACACCTCCCTCGCCCCAGGACACACACTGTGTCCTCTCTCTCAAAAGTCACAAGTGCTCTTTCCCCTGAAACTCTAATTTCTCACTGCAGCCCTGGCAGACAGCCCCTTCCACATCTGCTTCTCTCATCTCCCACCTGGACATCCCCATTTTGGCCCACTCCAGGGACCTGTAACCTGGGGCTTTGTTCCTTCCCTGCCCTCTCCCTTACCTCTGCTGCTTTTCCAAAGCACATTCATGTTATACCTTTGGCTGTCCCTTGCAGTCCTAGAGCTGCCAGCACCAATTGCTATTTTGCTAGCCTTGAGGGCACCTTTGTGAATGTGTGCCCAGACCACTGGATGCTCCTTCAGCACTGGCACTTTTAACTGTACTTTGCAGGAGGTGCCTTTTGAAGCCCATCTCTGTAGAGACCCTGCTCCTTTGCTGGCCCACCTTCCTACAGCATTTCTAACAAGATTGTTGTTAATATGTTGGGTAATTTATTTTCCTTAACGTGTTTCAAGTTGTCTCACCCCCTATATAACTCCTGGCAGGTCTGGCAGGTTTCTTGGATGTCCTGCTCTCTGAGATCGGTGTTGTACAGCATGGCCTGCAATGCATGAAATCAGAGCAAGCTGCATGCTTGCACCATGCAGCATGGCTAATCATTCTCAAATGCTATCATCAGTTATCTTGGAGGAGTTAAAAAAAAAGAAAAATACTGAAGCAGTCTGTGGCTGATTTAATCTTTAAAATCAGGAGAGACTTTACAGTGATTAAAGAGCCATTTCCTGACTACATATTGATATGAGTTGCTTCCAAGTCAAATATGAGGGAGACTGACAGGCATTCAGTCTTGGTGTGATTGGCAGGTCCCAGGCCCATGAACAGTGAGCTGTTTCCTGCTCTTGTTTAAAGGTGTTCTGGGGTGGTCTGTATTTAATACACAGCCATCTCAAGTAATGGCCCTGGTATTTTCTATTGTAATTGACAAAATTGCACACTTTAATTTTTAGTATCCATAAGGACAGGTGGAAAGTTTTATTCAAAAACTGAAGACTTCACATTGTTTTCCAATAGCTTCCAGAAGCCAGTCACTTTGGGAGCAATTCTGTGTTCCGAGAAATGCCAGAAAAAAATGTGTGCTGAAGGATTTCTCTAATATTACTGATGAGCACTGAGTCCTTTTTAACAAAAATCTGCAAGGCAAAGAATTGTAGGCATGAACAACAATGGTTTTGTGGGACACTGATCTTTGATATCTGGAAAGCACCTCTAGAAGCCCTTGATTAGCATGGAGAAGGTACTCAGGAAAAGAGGTTTGGTCCAAGTATTTCTGCAAGGCTACTGAATGATGTTGGCTTTGTTATTTCACTTATCCAAGGAAAAGTTGCTTCATCTGAAGAAAGGGAGGCTGAGATAGACACCTTCTCCGTGAAGGATTTTGGCATATACTCCAAATTTGTGAAAGATATCTTGCAATATGGTGCCCAAAGTAACAGGAAACTCAGTGATTCAGCGCTGTCTTCCAGTTCTGCATTCCTGAGGATGTAGAAAGGTCTGTGTGAACTCAATGTTTTTATTAAGGATGGCCTGGATTATGAGTTTACAATAGATAATAATGTACAAATGGCCTTCCATTTTTAGCTTCCCCTCCCTTCAGAGGATTCCTCCCTGCATGGACATAGTTTTCTCTGTAACTTCAGCGTGACTTTAGGCAGAGACAGAGTACCCG